AAAAGGGGCGAAAGCAGGAGAAGCCAGTTAATGCAACGGTCCTAGACAAAGGAACTGCGCTTGGCAGGACAATGGGCCATGATGATCACCTGTGATATGAGCTTGAAATTGAGACTATCCGTGCAAGTTGCAAAGCCAAGAGGTGTGTCAAAACCACGGGTTTCTTTCCACGGGTTGGTGTACAACATCGCAGGCAGATTGTAACCGAAAGCCCCCCTGCAATTTGGCCATTTACTTAGAAGTCACTGAAAACATCCGGAAACCTAGTAAGCCAACCCACTGAAGTGCGCCATGTCATCGAAACCTCCAATCCAGAAGTCTAGCAATTGCTCCTGGCGAGTGAAAAGCGGCTCTGTCCGTGTCAGGTGTTCAAAGCTATGGATGACCGTTCCAGTTGCAGTGGTTCTACAAACACATGGACAAAAACGGAGCTGGTGAGCAGTGTCTGCACTACACTTAATTCTAATTAAATTTGATTCTACAGATTGTTTCTACTAGCTTCTTGTTACTGTACTACTAGTTACTAGTAAGGCACTTGCTCCTAGTAGCGATGCCCTTTGCCCCTAGTAGCACCCTTAGATGCAAATGTGAAATGGCCCAACATGCCAAATTAATGCGCCCATGACGGCTCTACGACTCTACGGCCTGCAGAAAGGGCCCTGGGCGTGCGTACTTCGGAAAAAGCAGCTCTCCACCCACATGGACTGCTTCCACAGCCGCACGGAACTCCAGCCCACACTCCTTGGCTGCGCACAATGCCATCAGTCAGCTGTCGCAACACCAATGCACTGGTGTCTCCCGCGCTCTCTCTCTCTCTCTCGGATGCATGCACACGGCGCAAATCCACTTGCAAGGTGCTGCTGCTACAGTAGGTTTCTTTTCTCACGTGCTAAAGATGCTTGCGTCGCGCGCTCTGCTGCCACAGCTCGATGATCCAAGTGGAAGTGACGTTCGGATGCGCCTGAGGCTCTCGATGGAAGATCTCCACCAAGTCCGCCACGGGAATGAACCATCTCAGTGGCTCGATGTTGGAGGTGCTCAGCAGCTGGTGGTGAATCATGAACCTCAGTGGAAATGATATGGAAAAAAAAGGGACGCGCGTCACGCTGTTCTGTGCCAAAGAATCACATGTTCTGTGCAAATGTCCCGATGCAAGTCGTCTTCCCGAGAACATTCTTGCGACTAGTGGGTCCAAGCACAGTACCATCAACTGATCTCAAAAATGTCAACAAAAAAACTGTTCGGATGAAGATTCTTGCTTGGAGTCTGAATGCGTGGTAACTTAATATGCCAAACCGACATTGGTTTAGCAGAACTTGAATTCATGAGTCCTTCGAGGTATCCCAATGTACTCCATTGAATCAAAGCCCGATTTTATGGGATACGTGATGCCTCCAAGATCTTATGGTATCCCATTATATGGTATCCTATTCATCTTGTCAGTTAAAATTCTTTGAAGATGAGCCGTCTACATTTCTTCGGGATAGAGATCTTGGACGCGGCTTGACATAACTTGACCACTTTCGTGCTTCTGGACGTCTGCAATCGGAAGCTCGAGGTGGCATTGAAAATGTTTCTGGAGAAAACGAGTCCCTCCTCCTCTGCTGACCATCTTCTGAGTTCCGCACTCCCCACCAGTATCTCCTTCTGAGTGGGCAGTTGGACATAAATGCCCTTGACATCCGTAGTCAATCTCGCCCAAGAACTCCAGGAATCCGAGCCCGAAGTTTCGAGTCCGGTTGTCCTCACGGCGGATCGAAGGTCAGGCAAGTACAGGCAAGTGATTCGAGTGCTCTTCTCAGCCGGTTCGGGGGCTGATAGGAGCCTATGTTGCCCATCGAAGTGAAGGCGAAATCCAATCGTCAAAAAATTGTCGTGACCGTGGCTCTTGGAATTTCGCGCGCGTCTCCTGCTTGACACGTTGACCATGCCAATTCATGTCCTTAAGCTGCAAATTGCTGTCAACAGGTGAGGCTTCACACTCCGGGCAAGAATTAATCCCGAGTACCTATTAATATTAAAAAACGAACGGACACCTATTTAAAAAAACCATGTTGGAAGCCCCTAAATACAGCTTATTTGCGCAAATTGCCGCCCCTTTTCAATCTGCTACGAAACGACCAACATGGCCGATTTTGAGTTGTTTTAAAATTAGGTTCCAAAAACAACCGCAACTGCCCACCTCTGTCCAACCTGTCTATCCACCATGACACGCCGTGTTTACACCAGCAGGCTTTCCTTCCCCCAATGGCACGGACTCACGCAAACGCACTTTCCCCCAATGGCACAGCGACATCACCTTTTGAAAGCTTTATATACAGTAGTTGTTAGTCTAATGAAGAATCACTATTCTAATAAAGGCTTTTGTAGGGGAAAAGGAAGAAACCTTCGATCTGGAGGTTTTTTGAATTTTTGATACGAGTTTTATATGGTTTTATAATATAAAATGTTCCTGGGTGACTTTTTGGTTTTGAAGCCCTTCCCAGGTGACCCTATTTTGGACCACCCCGATTTCAGGGATCCCCTATTTTAAAAAAGGCGACCGAGGTTTCCTTATTTAGGGGGGGCGCGTGTTTCTTAATAGGTGGACCGGATTACTGAGTAAAAAAACACACATTTCCTCAGCGCTCAACGCCATGACCGCTGTTGAGTGGAATTATCTCATCAGACTTGGGGGAGGACAAATGAAAAAGCGACAAAATCGACCATACACAGCTGCGTAGTGCGACAGGCTTCAGCTGCGTAGTGCGACACGGCACCAAGCATAAACGCGACCAGTTTCGCGCCATGTTCGTCACCATGCTGCCAGTTGGGATACCTCGTGCACCAGGAAAGCTCTGACCATTGGTGAAGGGTCACCCTATCGGGGTGTATAGGCCCTACAGATGAAGACCACGGGATGTGAAGACCCCATGGGTGCACCAGCAACCCATCTCTTGAAAGAAACGATCCAATAGCTTGATCCATTTCATGGTCCAGGACATTTGTGTCTAAAGACCTGGAATGCCAGGCCCAGTGGTGACTTGCCAGTGATTTGAGAAGGAACGCCTGTGTTCGTGCCATGCGGGGTGCCACACATGGGGGCGCCGCACCCCTTCCAAAGCAACTAGCAACCCGTGTCTCAAGGTTTTGTCTCGGTTCTGAGTGCAGGAAAGATGCTTTTCGCGGATGTATTTGGCTGCTTTGCTATGAAAGGTGTGCCAGTGTGCATCTTCGCCTGTCTGACACCGGAGGGCCATAAATATCAACCAAAGTAAGGTCAATACATGTCAATACCAAGACCGCTACTAGTAACAAGTGCATCGCTACTAGTCACAAGTGCCTTACTAGTAGTAACAAGAAGCTATTAGAAACAAGAACGCTACTAGTAACAAGAACGAACTGTTGTCCCGTCTTCGGTCTTTGTGTTCTTCCTACCTCTGCCAAGCGCCTTCCGATCGGATCGGCACCGATCCCCTTTCAGCGCCGGACATCGGCCTGCACCATGATCAGTGCCACAGGCGTACAAATAGTCAGGGAACGGCGCCCCAGCCACCAAGGCATCAGGATAACGTGCCAAAATCGAGGAGATGTTGGCGACCTCCAGGGTACAAAAGCCATGCAAGGACCCCTGGAAGTATAGGCTGGTGATGGTTGATCAACTGAGACTTCTTGGGAAATCTGCTACTGTAGCACAGGCTGCCATTCTTGCAGGGCTTAGCAGCGCAAAAGAGAACACTCGTCTCGAGTGCTTGAGATATCTTGAGATAGCTTGAGGCCATGACCCTGAAAGCAGCTCATTTAGCATATAGGGCGTTGATACAGGATTTGGTCTTTCAACGTCCGTGCGGCTCCAGAACGCCTCTGTCGCAAAGAGCTGGTGAGCTCGAATGGCCACCTCGCTGTGGAGGGTCATGCCGCAGGTAGACCTAGGGCTTGGCACCAGAAGCCGTTCTGAAACCCAGATCGTGGGACGGATCACTACATATATAGCATCACATTAGCGGTATAGTAGGATCAAAGAAGGGAGCACCCTGGCCTTGTCAGTTGCAACCCTACAATTCTGCGTGTTGATCCGGGACAAACAGCTCGACGAAGTGGTACCCTTGCCGCACAACCGGCCAAAATATAAACTGCAAGGCTCTCCGATGGAATGCATCTGATGCAAAGCGTGCAAAGCAAGTTGCGTAATAAGTTGTTTTTTTAGATTATACACACATATATATATAATATATATATATATATTCGATACTGTATATATTCTAGCAATATGGATTCCATGGAGCACGGGTTCTCCCCCCAGACTTCACTTCCGATGCCAAGAGGCGCCAAAGGTGGCAAAGCCTTGCTTTGGGCACAGGGTCCCTTGTGCCAATTGCTTGGTCTGATTGTCCTTGACGTTTTTGTTTGGGTTAGTGTGGCACAACTCTTGAACAGTTTCATGAAACTACATCCACTTTTGCAAACACTCTTTAAGCCAAAGCCATACACTCCAATCACACCTGCCAGCTCAAGTCATGGATTGGAACCACTCATGAGAATCTGAAAACCTGCCAAGCAACCAGCAGCCATAAGCTGTGAAGTCGGAGCATGGCGAGATCCAGCTACTCACTCCGAAGCACTGGGCGCCGAGTCCGCTAGGTCCAACTGGTCAGTTCTTGACCGTCCGCTGTTTCCTGTTTTGCAGTGCTTTGAGTGAAGTTGAGGCTCAAAGGATTGGGATTGTCGTATATTGTCGTCTCCGTACCCGGAATGGTTGAGTCAAGTTTACGTCTTGAAAACCATGGCCGCTATTTGCCGCTATTTCTTTCTGGAAGGATCTCTCCACATCCTGTGTCTCGTGACCTCTTGGCTTTGTCGCTTTGCGGATGGGTCGTTCTTGAAAATACCTATTTCAAAGTCAACTTGCTTCCCAAACATCTCCAGTTTTCATGGGATTCCTAGGTCCAAAGCAGATCAAGCTCTCAGCTTCGCTCAGCTCGGTGGACCAAAACCAGTCCAAAACCTTTGTTGCATCTCCATGGTTATGCTTTTTTAGCTTGTTCTCAGCCTTTCTTGAGCCCCAGTGGTCCAGCCACCGAACTTGCCATGCTCGAAGGATTGCGGGTTCAGGTGCTCCCGCCAAACAAGCGGAAACATGGAAACTGAGTGAAACATTGCAAAGGCATTTGCTCATCCCCAAACCTGACCGTCCTCATGGGTCATCTGCCTATACTTGTTGTCTGTGCCTCCAAGGGTCTCTGCTGCACTCATGTGCGGAATGGGGTAACGACGCACGCGATCTTCAAAGCCATCGTGGCTAAAGGGCATGTCGCCTTCGTCGCTGCGGCTTCGGCGGACAATTCAGCATATCTAGAAACACAAGCGTCTCTCGTCCCAGTCAAATTGGCATCATGCGACTTCCTTGATCCTTCTTACGTAGGCGTTCTCTTGATCTTTGTCTGGTGATGTCTGGTGTTCATACGTGTTCATCATCTTTCCCGATCCCCCATGTCTTCTTCCACACTCTGAACCCCCCGAAAGCCCCACCGCTCGTTCGACCTCGAGCCATCTGTCGCGCGTGCTCGGCGGCAATGTCGGCAATGCCCTGACACCATTTCCTTGAGTCAAAGCAGAGCCCAAAACATCGACCGACGCGTTCGGGTGGATTGGGATGGGGTGCAAGGGGATGTCTCGATCTGAAAGTCGTATGCAAGGCACCTTGCTGGTCGATTTCTTGATGAGAGGGGACGTGAGGGCGGAAAAGAACTGTGTGGAATCGCTTTCGTCTGAACTGCAGGCTCGCCGTAGCGCCGTGGCTCTTCTTTTTGGCATTGCAACCCTTCCTGAAACTCAAACCGTCTCTGCGCAGCCTGGGAGACGTTCGCACTTCAACTGCTTGCTGAATAGCAAACTGCCTCAGCTGCCTCAACAAAAACATCCTGCAGGATTGCCGGCTTGCTCAGTTGAAGAAGTAGCTGGAGAACAGCACCGAGAGGACACAAATGCACAGCAAGCCCCAGTACAAGGAGGTTCGGTTCAACTCCACTGGAAGCATCGCATCATTGGGGCGAGGCTCTGGCAGGGCCTTCAGCACCACAGGGGACTCAATGGCAGAGATCTCCAAGCTGTTGCCAGTGAAGGCCTGTCCACGGAGCGCTGGGCTCTGAATCACGAAGACCTCCTGCTGAGGAGCGGAGATGCTGCTTGAGAAGAGCCAAAGGCAGGCGGTGGCGACAAGGACGAACAGCACAGGACGCTGGGCCATTGCGAGGTCGATGTCGTTGGTGCCTGCGGGCTAGTCTCTTTCAATGTGCTTCCAGCTTTTGAGCCAATTGTTTCCACATGATGTTGGTCTATGTATCCTCATGGCAGTCACCGCTTCTTTTCTGATTGTGGTCACGTAATGTCACATTCTCTTCTCCAATTCAACTCTGCCACAATTTGATTTCTGACTCTAGCTCTCCACAAGCTCGGGCCCTTTACGTGGTCCTTCTCTACTTTAACCCATGCCACCTTACCCACCTTCAAAAAGAGAATCACAAGTCCAATGAGGTAAGCAATTCACAATCCCAGTTTCCCCCTCCCTTTATCATATCTCTGTCTAGCAGTGTCAGTGTGAAGGCATGCCATCCCAGTGTCATTGGCGGCATCTTCTCAGAACCCCGAAAGATATTGGTCTCGTCCAGTGCCCTGCGCGCCAAGTAGTTGGGGTCATAGCTCCGGTTCACCAGCTGTCCTTGTCAAAAATCCGACGGGTGACGCATACGCGCCGTGAACCACAGCAGGTGGATGATGAGACTTGGTGGATGCGGCAAAAAAGAGCACTCTTACCGTGTTGCAAACACAGACCAATCAGGGAGGTACCTCGTACCTACCTCCAACCATCTCCAATTCCAAATGGTTCCAGTGAACTGAGCCATCAAAAGCCCAGGTGGCCATAGCTTGACGCCTGGCCCAAGCTGGTTTCATACTCCTTGGCATACCTGGGTCGAGTCCCCTCGAGCTCGAGAGGGTGCCCGATCATCGGGTGAGCAGCGAGGCCGAACCTATCGACCAAAAGCTTTCTTCGCATGACGGCGAAGTGAATCAGGATGAGGTGGCTAAAGCGAGACAAATGAGGTGAAGAATAGAACAATTGGAGAGTAAGCATGCAGGAGACTGGCATTCTGGCATTCTGACATGGGGCATCATGTGGCTGCAACTGGCAGTCCACCAATTTGGGGCATGTGCGTCTTGGATTCTTGGCCTGAACATGTGCAAGGCATTGTCCATCTACGTTGCAACCATTGTTGCACCAGAAGTGAACCTTTTGACATTCAAGAATGTTGAAAACCGTGGAACAAAATCCAATGAGTTTGCGTCTGGAACTGCTGTGTACTTACCAACGGCCCGTTGAAACATAAAAAACAGAAGCACACTTGAACCAGTCTGACCACAAATGCAACCTGGCTGCAAAGGCATGTTTCCGATTGCTTCCTCTACACGCATATTCTCCAAGTCCTGCAAATTGAACCTGAGGTGATCTGCTGTCAGGTTGGTGTAGGAACTATGGCTGCCACCCAGTGCCCACCCAGTGCCCATCCGCCCGCTTGCTTGCTTCAAGAGTAGTTGGGCTGCTCCCCCTCCGCGTGGAGTGTGACAAGCGGCAACTGTTCACCAAGACCACATCGAGAAATCACCAAACTGAAAGAAGGGGGCACTTGATATACTTCATCTTACCCTGTCATCGAGGGACGAGGTAGCAGTTGCTGTTGTGTCCCAGTCTGCTTTCCACATCTTGAACGTTGGCTTCACCGGAACAATTTCTTGAACACGCCACGGTTAGCCCAGGGCCGGCGAGGTTCACACCTGCCATACCCCCCAAAAAAATGATTGCAGACCGTCCAGAGCTTTATATATATATATAAGCACCTGTTTGCCCAGGTATGTTTGACCAAGAAGAAGCAGAAACATCATCCACTCAGCAGCCCTTGCCACACCAACCTGCATTTCCTTGCCAAAGGTCTCCCGCTTTCCAGGGAAACGCTCTTCTAAGGGCCGCTGGGCTGTGGGCGCTCGAGGCACCAGGCGGTACACAGAGGGATTCGGACGCCGACCTTAGGAGCATGCGACCGATCGTTTGTGTGTTTGGGCCCTCTATATGAGTCTATGAAAACCCTAAAACGAGAAACACATGGAAAATGGTGGGGAGTGGCACATGGTGGAAAAATGTTAGAAAACCAATCGTTGGGGTTGAAAACTGTTTGGCACGTGGAACATGTGGGCTTCCAGGCTCGCCATGTATGACCATGGCTCGCCTCTGCTCAGCATTAGGCCATAGGTTCTATGGCTTGTTGAAAGCAATTGAAATCATTTGTACATCTGATCAGCGAGGTGTGAGCACGGAAGGCGCAGGGCATGGGCGATAGGTCCGATAGAATAACTTTGAAAAGCCCTAGGCCCTAGGTGAATTGCTTGCAACTGCAAGAGCCAGCCCTGTCACAAAACACTCACTTCAAGGATTCAAGGGCCCACCCATCAGAGATCAAACATTTACACCGTCCATTTGAGAAATCCCCGTGGTCGTGCCTGCATCACGCATGGCCTGCTGGAACTTTCGAGGGTCCTTGGCCCGCCGCGCATGGACTTCGGCGAGAAGCTCTCCTTGGATGGCCCCCCACGAGCACATCTCGAACAAACACGATGCGGCAACGCCTCCCTCGTCAGAATCGCTGCTAGGTCAACGCCTACCAGCGAAACAAAAACAATGAGTTCAATTGGCTGACCTTCGAAGATGTTGTCCACTTTAGCCGCTTAGCCGTGCAATGTGAAAACACGGGCTTGAATGCGGCCAGGGTGCTTGCGGTGTCAGTGGCCAGGCTGCTGTCTTCGTTCACGTCAACCAGATCACTTTTGACCTATCAAGACTCAAACCCCGGCAGCAAGTCGGCGTGATCGATGCATCATTGACGGGCTTGCGCGTGGGAGTGCAGAGCTTAAACATGAAGGACATCGATGGGAATCACACGTCTTCAGGAAACTACATGTGTTCATAACATTTTATAACATAATATAGCATATTATACACTGTACACTGACACCCTACGCTTCCAACCACCATTCTTGAATGGCTTTTTACCAATCCACCATTTTACTGAGGATAGAACACTACAAAAACAAGAAAAAAAGTCTTGGACTCCCAGGTGAGGTGTATGACCCAGTCCCCCAAAACCCTTTTGACAAAGGCCCAACAAGGATCGCATTGGTTCAGTGATGCCGTTTCTATTTCGAGAAGCGATCGTTTTGGATGAACTGGCGCCTCTGGCATGGCTGCGCAAGTGGCAGGGATCCAGGCATCCGGATTCCGCAGCACCTCGTCCAGCAGCGAGAAAGCACCTCGTCCAGCAGGCGGCCCGGTTGATGGTTTGGTGCGAGGCGCGTCACCTTAATGAGCTTCTATGAAGCTTATATATCATATTGAATCACATTCATCAATGTTCTATTGCATGAAAAGCAGCACAGGCAGAAAGAACATGTAACATAGATCTTCAATGATCTTCAGCACTTCCCAACTCCCAAATATCTCTTGGATCTTCACTCTTTTCCATGCCCCAAAGCCTAAGCCCCCCCAAAAAGGCGGGGCATGGGGGGGGCCATCTGACCCACCTGACCCATCCGTTCCGGGCTCGGCACGTTCCATGCGTTGAGACATGGCGTTCGCCGAGCCCACGGCGTGGCGCCACTCGAGGCAGGGCTGGCGCTCGTAGGCCGAAGTCCAGAAGTCGCCCTTCTGGAAACCTCGGCGATTCCGGTGGGTTGGGAGGTCATTGGTGGGGAGAACTTAGGGATAGCGCTCTTCAAAGAGGATAGATATTGGTGTATGGTACGTGTATTTGACATGTAATATGCCCCGCCGCAGGTTAACATGGAACCTGACAACCACTGGGTTGTAGAGGAAAATAGTCTTCAGACATGGCACAAGTTTGAAGAATTTGTTCTGGATCACTTTACTGATGCGCATGCCCAGGACAAAAACAGTCAAGCGCGCAAAAATGATCAAGAAAATGGCGGGAACCTGGCTGATTCACCTTGGTAACCTGACCCTCCACCCTACTCCACCTTTGGCCTACTCAATGACTCCGTCTCCCGAGGCGCCAATCTTCGTGAGCAGCGCCAGGGCGGCGGGAAAGCGGCCGATGCGCTCCCTGAAGCGTGGGTTCTGGAGGCGGATTTGCCTGGGCCCAGACAGGCGGATGGAGGGCCTAGCTGGGCGGCCTCCTCAGGCTCTACATATGTCACAACATAAGTGTTCTAGATTCGGAAGATTGGGGAAGGGTGGCATCAACCTGAGCTGACATCACATGACCCAAGCATGGTGAAAGGTAGGCGAGGTAGGCGAAGGCTGAGATCGATCTTCGGGGTCATGTGAGAGTTGGTCAATTGAGCCTGATACATGTCGACTGTTCACCATGGACTGAGCAGGATCACCTTCTGGAATTGTGTCATCATCTATAAAAGTCGGGGCGAAGGGCATGACCCTTCTCAGAACTGCGTCAAACAACTGCTGTTTGGCTTGGTCCATCAGCTCAGCTCAATCCTGCCTCACACGGCTGCTTTCTGGGTCTGCCAAGATATTCCGCAATACCCGGTGCCTTGGCGGCCACCCGGAAAACCAGTCCCAAATACAATACCCTGTAGAATGTTGTGTTGCAATGGCATGTGTCTTCTGAGAATTGGTTGAACAACTCTGGTTGAAGTATCCACTATCCTGATATGTTGCCGCGGCAGGGATGCGGCTGCTCCAACCCCCTCTGATATGCTGGATGTTTGCTGCCAAACCCTGAGATGTTCGTTTCTGACGGCTCAAAATCCCACAGTGCAGGCACAAAAACCAGGACTCTGGGTTTCCCAGCACTCCTTGCAAACATGAAAGGCGGTGCAAGGCAGGAACCGTCAAGAGTCGGAGCACGGCGAGTGCCACTTCTTCCTCCTTGTCACGCAAAAAGGAATGGTTGAACAGCCCAACACGCAAGCACCCGAGCTCGTTCAGAACCCAAAAACAAAACAAAAAGGAGAAGTGATGGCCAAGCACTCGTGCCATCTGATCTCTCATTTCATCACCTTCCCCTTCCCCTCCCCGTGGCCGTCTACCGCCGTCCTCCCGTGCTCGAAGCATCTCGGGCGAGACATCAATGTCTTCATCCTCTTGATGCCGTTCGATCCTGGGAGCCATTGACTGGGCACTGAAAGCTACTAGGGCCTTACTAGGGCTACTAGGGCTACTAGGCCATCCATCACCACCAGGGCTACTAGCTGCGGATTCTGCACCGGATTGGCACCCCAAGACCTGCCAGGGCGCCAAGCGATCGCCTCCTCCACATCCGCACAGTCTGCATCAATCGCCTTTCGCGCACGCACCGCCGGGATCTGGAAGTCTCGCAGCTCACAAAAGAGCTGAAGCCTTGGCGCGAGCTCCACGGAGAGTTCGACGCAAGGACTCGAGAATGCCCGGTGACTTTCTTGGGCCTTTTGGCTTGGCCGTGTGGTGAGCACAGCCTCCAAACAAGCTGAAGAAGAAGCGGATCTGCAAAACTCCCAACACGCCGCCACGTTGCTGCAACTCTGTCCAATGAGAAGGCGCCTCAAGCTGGGGATCAGTGCAAAGGGGCCACAGGCTCCACAAAAGCTTCCACCAAAAATGCATCGAGAAAAACATGCGATCTTTTTTGGCAGGCTTGGTGACAACCTCTACCCAGCACCATTGGTTTGATTAGTCACCCCTTGGTCCTCTTGGTCTTGTTGTCAATCATACCTCATCCCTCATCCTCACCCTCCTCCTCCTCCTCCTCCTCTTCCTCCTCCTCCTCATCATCACCATCATCAATTGATGGCCCATGTCACCAGACTCCTCCGTTGCTGAACCTTGCCAGGCCATGAGCCATGTCGCAGCTCTTTGGTCCCACCCGCCTCATCGTCCTTGACCTCAACGTCCTGCGCAGTTGAGACCTCGATCAACTCGTCAAGGTCCTGGAGCGTCGGACTAGGAAAAAGGACATATTGATCTAAGGGGTTGTACTGTAGCACGATGTAAGAAATCGGAGGGATAAACATTTCAAACATCTGAAATCTGAGGGATCCACTTTGGTCATCATGGAATATGGATGATGGCCAGTTTATGTCTCTGTCTGCGGGCCCTTGCAAAAGCCCCAGCAACAGGCCAAATGGCCAGACTGTTTTGGTATGCGTGCTTCACAATCTTTACATACAAACCGATGCTTCAACGTGGAACGGCTGCCAAACCACCCAGTGGCAAATGTCCAGCGGCCTCTTCCCCATCACAACCAGTAGGATCAGCGTCCACCCATTCACCAGAACCAGTGGCAAAGCACCTTTGACTCGGCGCAGCAGTCACATGTACGACACCGGTGAACGAGGGGGGTCTTTCCATATGTCCCATGGCCGTTTGGTCTGTAGAGCCGCCACATGGCTGCCACCGTGTCTTGAAGTAAAATGAAGTAAATATGTTGAAAGGATTGGACAGGCTCTGGGCTGCATCGTGCGCCCAAGTGACATCGGGGCATCTGACACTTGGATCACGGCCGTCTCGGACGAGGCTGGGATGGAGGCTGCTTCTGTGGGAACCTGGTGGCCAAACCCCAAAGAGTCCAGCCTAACCATGCGAAAAACACTCAAATACTTGGTGTATCTTAGTGTTGTGATCCAGAATTCCTGCTGACTAATCCGGCTAAGCCGGTTAGACCCATCAGCCTTGCTCACACTCACATGTGATGCGTCAGAAGGTCGACCAGTTCGACGCCGTCCCCATGGCCTCTTCAGTCCTGGGCCGCTTGACATGGCTCTCGTCAGGTGGCACCACCTCTACCTGGCTGTGGATTTGGTGCACTCGGACTACCTACGAGCTGAATACCTGCAGTCCACCTCCTGAGACACATGCACACAGGCAAAAGAACCTGCTGCTGTCTAAGCCCGTTGAATGGACCTGAGACTGGTACCTCCTAGACATCATCCAATCCCGATCATCTCATCCAATCCAATCCCATCCCGCCTCAGGAGCCTGGGGGCACGGCCAGTGCGCTGCCCTGAAGGCCTCCAACGCTGGCCCCTCCAACGCCACCGCCGCCTCCGAACCACCGTCCGCACGTGTGACTCTGAAGGCCAGCCTCGGGCACTAGGGGACGAAAACAAGCCGATAGGGGGGGAGAAAAAAGGTGGGGGATGGTGGGGGTGAAGAACATGATTCCCATCAAATTCAATGTGACTCCATGGTGCTGGAGAATGTGAAAAGATCTTTTTTTCGCATCTTCTGTCAGTGCTCTTCTCTTGAATGTTTCCAGTTCATAGTAATTAGTAATTAGGATGGAATCATGGACCCCCCTAAAAGCAGCTGTGACTTCTGTCAGCTGGTTTCTGGTGGTTTCTGCACAGGTCTTGGTTCTGGGAGCTTGTGATTGGGCGGAATCATATAGGTGGAAATCCTGACTCTGTGAAGAGGAGCGCACTGCTGCGTCATTGAAATTAGGCAATGCCGTTTTGGAAGTCTGGTTTCAGAATGCGCACGATTGCACAACACGTCAGCAACATCTGGCCAGCTCCCTGGTGAGGGGATTTCCCCTTTGGCTTCCCATCATTCTTCACTTGCTCGAAACGTCCGAGGTGCTCTCCTTTCTCAAATGCCCGCAGCAGAAGCACTGCCTCGTTTGGCACAGTGAAGACCTTGTTCACCTCGCTCCCCTGCCAAGGAAAGCGTACAGCCACCAACACCCCCTCGGGAGAGTGGTTCTCAACCTGGATCCTCAGTGTTGCGCAAACGGGTGGAGTTTTGGCACATGGCCAAGGGCGCGGCGAGTGTCTTGGACTGGTTTCTTCATAAGGCAGTCCAGCTTGGCATTCACTAACTTCAACTCCATTCGGGACACTATAGCAGATCCAAAGCAACAAGTAAGCTCACAATTAGATGCCCATCGCCTGGTAGTACAGTAGATTCGTGTAGGTTCTACTACGTTCTACTAACTAGTAGACGGTGTAACTCTCATCTGTGACTTGCTTTAAGCTCTATGGGAAATGCCCAGCTGCAGTTGCTCGCCGCCATGCACCAAGCATGCAGAGATGCGAGCAGTTGAGCTGCTGCTGCCGCTGCTGGGTACAGCATCCAGTTGCACCTGGGCTTTTCGCACAAAACCGGTCGGGTGATGAATCCCCAAACCATGAGATGTCTCGCCCTCAGAAAGCAGCTTACAGTGGCTTAGAGGTGTTCCCGCCCTTGTGACATCTGCTCCTTTTGCTGTGCAGAGTTACCTGGATGAACCACCGCATAATTAGCACCCACGCTTAATCTTTCCTTTTGTGACTTACAGAAGTGAAACATGTGGGGCTTCACCTGTCACCAGATCATCTAGACATATCCATCTCGATGAAGCCCGGAACGTCCTCCCGGATCTGCTTCGAGACCTCCAGCGACGCCCTATTTGAACGCCCAGTCACCGGGCAACCCAGGCGGTTCCGCACTCGGCAGCTGGATGGCTTGGAGCCCATGGGATGGCCAAGGAGGGTATGGTGGTTAAATGTGGCCAATGGTTTGCAGGAATCTTGAAAATCACATCTTTCCATGGGGTGTTCCAGAGATTATGGCCGGTTGGGAATCAGTGGACGATTGGGACTATGGGCTGGAACACAGATTCAAGGCTTCTGGGTTGCTTGTTTGTGAATAAGAAGTTCGGCCATTGCGGGAGCACATGGCAACCAAAAAGCACTGAATACGAACTGGCATCCTTCCATGAACATGCAATACCAAATTATATAGAGTTAATGCTGTTTCCGGTGGCCTCACAAAGAATACAGCAGCCGATGCTTGCACTCTGTTGCACGCTGTCACTGTAGCACTGTAGTCTGCAATCATGTAAATTCCTGACATATATCACGTCTCCATACGTATCCCACAGTATTGGCTTTGGAACCCAGCGATGGTGCAAAGATTAATCCTTCCACAGGTCACAGCTGAGCAACTCTCGAACGCTAGCCAATGGTTGCAAGATGTTGCAAGTCAGCTCGCTACTGACAGGGGTCTTGAGCGAAGCGACCCTAAATTTCCTAAATTTTACATTGAGCCTTCAATGCTTGTTGATGAGCCTGCAGCGGGCCCTTCTTGCTCCTCCTGGTCTTAGGACTCGCGCCCACTCTTTGGCCTTGGTTCGCCAAAGGATGGCCATAGCCAAAAGCGGCTTCCAAGTGCAGTTGGTCGTTGATGCCAGGGCAGTTGTCGCTGCCCATAGGCCACGACGACGCGACCGGCATCTTGGTTTTCCTATGAGGTGCCATGAAGGCAATGACACATCACTGAGAGTGAGACCCAAGTGTAGAGGTGGTGCTTCACATAGGTATGACTGAAGCGAAGGCGACTTTCGCAGGGCTGAAGAAATAGAACTATTATAATATTATATAACTATGGAGACTTGGCATTGAGGACTCCGAGCTTGTCCAGCTACTTCTGCAAAGGGTTCAGTTGTTCAGCTGCATTGTTCGTTGAAGCAGTTCGGATCTGCCTGCTGTGGCGCTGGCCCCAGGGCCTTGGGAAACAAATTGCAGGCCAAAACGCACCATGAGGTAGGGTAGTTGCTTCTGAATCTTATAATTGAAACACGTTGGGCCATGATCACCTTCTAAAATGTTACCTTTCCCAGCCATCACCATCCTCCTCCCAAAAGAACACCTCCAATCCGAGCCCCAAGCGTTGTTCAACGCGTGTCGCCACGCCTCCTTCCGTCGCCCCCGCTGGGAGCTCCGACGGGTCCACCACGATGAGATCGAACACATCGCCCGTCATGGGCAACGATCGGTTGGACCTGAACACTGGTTCCGCCGGTCCAACCGCCGGATCGCCGGGCTTCGGCACGCGGCGAGTGCGTGGTTACAGAGGGCACGTTGGCGCGCCCTTTCTTCAGTGAGACAGGGGGTGAAGGGCCAGACCGGACCAATGACGAGTTTCAGGGAGTAGGGAGTGAGCGGGAACCTCGTGGTTGGAGATGTGAACGAATGGGCTGGACATGAGTGATCTTGCAATGGATTTGGTTCAAGTCTTGAAGTGCTGCAAGGCTGTTTTTGTTACCTAAATTAGTGGCTTTAGTGGGCTCTTCACCTGCTCCTCGGCCACCAGTCAGCCAACAACCAATTCAACCATTCACGCAGTCCAGTGGCTTAGAAGGGATGGGAAATTCGCTTGCCAAGCGCTTTTTGCCGCAGTCCCATCACTTACGTCGCCCTCTGTAGGGATGCTTCCAGTGCCCTCCGATGTGGCTCCGAGGAAAAGCCCCCGCGCACCAGTCACGGCTACTCACGCTACTCCGTCACTTGATACTTCTTCTGCTCACTACAGTTCATTTTGCTTGAGGATCCTCGGTGAAGCATCAAGTTCAAAAAAGGTTTGCTCAGAAACTCAAAATGCAAAAGCCAAACAAAAAAACACATGGCCATCATGAAAATCCCAAGTCAGACTACATAGACCTTCACTATCTTGGAACTCCCGAAGCACCCGCGCGTCGTTTTGGCCTCCTCCGCCCTCCGCCTTCCGCCCTCCTCCGCACATCATTCCCTCCCGAGGCTCTTTGCCACCTCCTTGTGTCCATGTCGATGGGCCAAATCCAAGGCCGTGCCCTCGGGGCACCGTAGGGTCACCGTTGCCTTGGCCTCACACAGGACCTTCACGATCCGGGCATTGCCCTGAGCCTGACACGGAAGGAGAGCGGCGTCGGGAGTTGGGAGGCTGAGGCGAACGTGAAGATGGGGTTGGGGAGGACGAGATGCTCTGGGAGAGAAGGTGGGAGAGGAGGAAGAGGGTCCCCTTTCTTTGGTTTGAGGATGATGTGGATGAGGTTTCATCTGCAGCCTGCTGTCTAGGAGTTTGAAGAAGTGAGGTTTGATTGGAGCTGGACAGCTAGTCACACTACCACTGCAATCTCCAAATGACACGATGTGTGGGGACATATCACCAAATCGATGCGTGTCACATGGAACAACGCTGAAGCCCCTCAAGCAGCGAACGATGACCGGCCAAAATCACAAGGATTCACTGGCCCACCTGAAAAACAACAAACCTGGTCAACAATATAGCGTATCCTGCAGGCAGGCTGACAGGACAAGGTCCCCTTCTACTTGTTAAACACCACAGGGTTGGAGAAGACAACTGTTCAAAGTCAGCTGAAAGTTTGGATATCAAACAGATCATTTCTCTAGTGCAACTAAGAGGCTGCACTGATCGCCAAGGCAGTGTGCCCATGCATATTGGTTGCATCCAAGTTCGCCCTTGACTGACACCTGAGCCCGGCGCCTGCCCAATTGAGCTGGAGAGATTCTGGTGGTGTCTTTGAGGAGGACTCGGAGGAGTATAGCACCTAAAATCTCGAGTTCCCCATCCAAGTATATAGACTCAAAGATGAGTCTTACATCCTACATTCAATTCGGGGGCGAACGGCTTGTGTCCGGCCAAAATGCCAAGATTCTCCAGCTTATTCCCTCTTTCCCTTTTCCCTGTTTTCTCTTTAGAAGGCCCAGCAGCAGCAAGCGCACAATGTCCACGCACTGACTGCTGGCAGCGAAGTGCAAGGCCGTCCGCTGCTCTGAGGCTGCATGGTTTATATCGGCACGGAGCTTGCACAACTCCTCACGGAGCAGCAGCGTCGCGTTGGCCCTAGCCCACGCGCTGGTCCAAAGAACATGGAACATCAAGAATCCCAACATAAAACATGCACCCTGCTCTGACTATGGTACCTGCCCAAATGATCGCAAGTGTACGCCTCCCCACGCACGACGATCGATCGCGATGCGTGATGCTACGATTTCGTACCAGATGCTCATGGCCATGTCCTCGGCCGTCCGCGTGTGAGCATTGAGGGCTGCCACTTGCAAGGGTGTTAGGCCGTCTCCGTTCGCGGAGTTCCTGCGTCAGCGGTCAGCCGGTGGGAACGGAGAAAACCCACCGAATTCCACCAATCTGGTGAACGGCTCTGTCTCCTGAAAGAGAGTTCTGTTGTTTGAAGAGTACAAGTACTTCCTCCAATTTTTATGCCCAAGTACTTCCTTGGCCACGACAAGTACATGAACTGTCCCTGTGGCGCCCTGCCCTCCCCTTGGGGACCTAAGGCACCAGGGCGATGCAGGGAGCAGGGGACCAAAGGACCACAAGAGCAAGGGAAGAGAAATCAGGAGACGCGGGACCAGGGGACCCTGCAATTTGTTGATACCTATTCCGAGAACTTGCAGGATCTGGGTGAAAAGATTGCAAAGATCAGAGGTCACATATCGAACGTCTTAGCCGTCTTAGCCATGTCAGCTGGTTCACGCAGAAAAGGGCCCTCCCCCGGCAAAGGCGGCACGTCTAAGCTCCATTCTCCAGTCTTGGGATCACCATGTGCTATCGTAAAATCCTGGATACCTCTTCCAGCGTTTTCCACGGAGAGGCGAAAAAACAAGGACACCTGCCATCTCGAGGGCCATTTTCGCCAAGATTCAAGTTGGCTTTCTTTTGGCAAAGAAGCTTTGCAATCTCCACCATGCCCTCTTCAGCAGCTGCTGACAAAGGAGTGCAGCCACGGCAATCCTCACAGTAGAGATGCTGCGAGCTCAAAGATCAATAGCGTGGAGCACTCCAAAAAAACAAAAACAAAACGAAAAGGCTCTACCCCAGGTGATGTGCGTCAAGGCTGCTGGCTTGTCAATCTGGGCCTTGGCATCTAGCAGGATCTGGATCCTTAGGCTTGCAATCAACCATCATTGACCATCATTGTGAATTACTTCAAGTGAAAAAAGGAACCAAAAGCACAAGCAGCAGAATGCTAAAAGAATGCCACTGGATGATGGAGAGAACGCGTGAGAGTATAAGTAAGTAGGCTCCCACAAGCCAAGAACCTGATCTACAAAGCAAAGCAGGCAAGCTAAGCTTCACAGCTTCCACGGGGATTCCTGACAAACTGATGGACTGCACTAAAGCAGGAAAGAGTCAGTGAGGCATGGCCAAAGAATGCCGCCAAGAAGAGTGGCGTCGCCCCCAATTGTAGAAGGTCCATCTCTGTAGGGGTGACGCCCACATAGCATGCCTTCCAGCAAGCTACACAAATGTGCTTGGCAACTCTGTGGCCATGCGACTGAAGGCCAGCTCTCAATTTAAGCCTTGGAGCAATGTGACTTGTTTCTGGCCTCTCCTAAAACTCTTTTAAGCTTGTCAAACAAATAATTGGGCAGCTTTCAAGCCTCGCAGTTCACATCTTCCTCGAAATGGCCCTCCTCCTCTTCTCCCTCAGAATCCTTCAGATCACAGGAAGTGCGTAAACAAAAAGCGCACAGTTTTGAACAAATGAAGGTCAGCGCTGACGAAACTTCACCCGGAAGCGCCAAGTGCCATTGGAATTGGCACTAGCCGCTAGACGCTACCAAAAGAACGCCCAAACCAATCAAGGCACAAAAGCATCAAAGGCACACAAGAATGTGTGTTGGAAGGCTCTTCCCAAAAAAACACACCTCATCTTGAGCTCCTTTCCCTCCAAGCCACGTTTTCAAAGTTCTCTTCTAAGGCCACAATCGTTGGGACGTTGAAGGGCTTTGGGCACTGAGCCAAGTTGGCTGACTCCATCAATCCTGCCCGACTCACTCTCACCCAGCCCAGTTTGCAGTCCATATAGATAGAAATTGCCACAGCTGTCTGCGGTCCATAACTTCTTGGATTTATGATTCCCTCTATACTCTATACGTGCTCATTTAAGCCTGAGTCTTCACAGAAATATGTTGAAAGGCTCGGCATTTGCTTCGTCTCATCTTTCAAAGGCTTTGTCATTGGACCTGCGACCTGCGACCGGACGAATCAATCCTCCCTAATTGCCCGCTGTCAAATGGTATTCGTCCTCGTTTGCATCCACTGCCATACCATGCCGTACCATCGCCCATTTGCACTCAGTGCCCTACATCGAACCCGTACGAACCCATGCCATGCACAGGTTATCATGCAACGAAATGCCCGGGAGTTGCAGCGCGCCCCACGGTGTCCCACCGCGCCTGCGAGGCTCTCATCCGTGACCGCCTCGTTCACATCACAGCGCATCTGACAGAGGGAGGTCACTGTGACCACCTGGCCACTGCGTACCGCCACATGCAGCAGGAGGCTGTGAAAGTGGATTGGACGCTGATCGCCACCCGTGAAGAGGCTCTGCAGAACCTCCTGGTGGTCCTGAACAAATGACCAAAGCAATGATGCAGTGGAGCATTGGAAAATGGAAACTTACAAGTGGCCTCGCATTTGGAGCCTTTCAACCGTTCCATTGCAAAAAGCTTTTGCACATCCCAATGTCGCCTTCTGGGCATCTGTCATGATGGCCATGAAGAAAGCATTGACGCCAAGCCGGTTCTGGACACAAACGTGCTTGTCAGCACCCCCCTCCAACAAAGCTTGCGTCACTTCCACATGTCCACCCCAGGCAGCATAATGCAAAGCCTAGGCTTTGCAAAGGCGCCAAACAATCTAAGCAAGTGAGCTGTTTTCGGACTGTTCACGGGCTGAATGGCTTCAGGTCAGGATCGACGACTATTCGAGGAATTGGTCATTCGAGGAAACTCCCTGGAGTCTGCACGGTTGGCAATCTGCTCTTGAGATCCCATACTTTCAACATCTTTCAACAAATAACCTACCCCTGATTCAACATCATCAAAGTTTGCCCACATCCACGCCCTGCTGCCAAGAGGACTGTATGGCCTCGGGTTGTTGGCTTGTCTATCTGAGCACGGGCCTGCATCAGCCTCCGCAGGACCCCCGCATAGCCCGCGAAGGCCGCCACATGCAGCGGTGCAGCGTCGATGTCCG